CAGGCAGATTAATGAAGCACACTGCTGAGGGGAGCAGCAGAGACAGGAGAGGTATACAGCACCATGTGGGTCAGCTCCCTGGTCGGGGATCGAACTCGTGCTGCAGTGGCTACCATAGCTTCTTAGTGCTGTGCTAATTCAACCCGTTGTGCCACCAGGGAGGGCCCCAGACACTGCTTCTTGATGGCTTAGGTTTGCAGGCAGCTGTCAGCCCCCAGCTGCAGGGCAGTCAGTGTAAAGCTAATAAGCCAGACCTTTCTCGCTTCTCCCTGAAAGTTTCAGGAGGGAAGGAGGCTGTGGTTGCCTTGTTCCAACTATAAGCTGAAGAAGAAAGTCTTCTGGAAAATTGAGGGGATTCAAACCAAGCCGCGAGCCCTCCCTGGTAGCGCAGTGGCTTGGAGCTCAGGGACTGAGCTGTCCTAGACAGGACTGTTCTAGGTCCTGAGAAAACGCCTGTGTACAGGACAGACAGGGTTCTTGCCCTCTTACACTTTAGGGTTTTTTTCAGTATTGTAAAACGGTCCGAAGAAACCAGGTGATAAGATTGGAAATGATTTGGAGACGATTATATCTCTGGGTGTTTAAAGGGAATTATACCTTGTTCTGTAGATTTGTGTTCACTTGGGGGATGATTTTGGCCTTTTGTTGTGTCCTGTATGTGGGTTTGAAGACACTTTGGAACATATTTATTATACCCACCTTCTAGGAGATCCGAAACAGGATCTGGCTTATGAGCGTCAGTATGAACAGCAGACTTACCAGGTGATCCCTGAAGTGATCAAAAACTTCATCCAGTACTTCCACAAAACTGTCTCGGACTTGATCGACCAGAAGGTGTATGAGCTACAGGCCAGCCGGGTCTCTAGTGATGTCATTGACCAGAAGGTGTATGAGATTCAGGACATCTATGAGAACAGGTATGGGCCATTGGCGGAAATGACCTCTTCTGGAGGGGTGTGTTTAGTGACATGAAAGGGGTCACGTTTGATCTTTTTTTTCCTTTTGGTGAAGAGCTCGCCCACAGGTTTCTGGGACTTCTTTGGGTTAGAACTAGGTAAATGTACTGGACTTTTCCCAAAACTTGTATAAGACCTGAAATGGTAACGTTGCTGTCAATAGCTCTAATAGTAATTGGCATCTCTGGCCGTGTAGATCAGGCGGTGTTCAGAGTTTTTTCCTATATTTTACCCTTCACAGTAAAGGGAAGCAGTTACTGTTGTTTTTCGTGCTTTGTGTATAAGGAGGCAAAGCATTGGCAGGTGAGTCACATAGCTAGTGAAATGAACATGCAGTTTTGAGCCAGAATATTCTGATACCAGAGCCTACTTTCGGAAATGAACTGTAAACTTTTTATTTGTGCATATAAGAACTGGGACATGGGCCAGAGGTATGGGGAGTGAGAGGATTCACCAGAGACAGAGTGGGGAGCAGAACGGGTGGAACTCCTGAGGGGAGCAATGAGCCAGACAAGAGATGTCTGCTGTGCCTGTGGGTCACCTCCCTGGCCTGGATCGAGCTCATGTGGAAGCGGCTGCTTGCACTGCTGTGTCCTAATCCGTTGCGCCACCAGGGAGGGCTGTGATCATTAAAGTTTTAATGAGATTGTAACTTTTTTCTGCACACTGTATTTTTTCTAACCCTGTATTTTAAAAGCTCGTGGCACTTGGGCGGGAGATGACCTTGAAAGCTTGGCGGGCGCCTGTGATAGCCACCGCTGTGGTAAGACAGGCTCTCTGCTTCGTAGTCGGGGAATGTTTTGGGTAACTACGTTTGGTGATGATTGTTAATGACACTCAGTCATTTTAGAATATATAAAACATCAGATCATTCTGGTGCTGTCTGAAACTGATGTGTCAGTTGGACTCCAAAAATAGTTAAAGAAGAAAAGTCTTGTCAGCTGCAGAGTTGGGCAGAGAAAAGCTGTGGCCTTAGGGATGCTGGCCCTGATTCTGTGTTGAGGACCTCTTACCCTGAGTCCTTACCTGTGAAATGAGAGCGTGGGCCTCCCTGGTGGCACAGCAGGTTAAAGCGCGGCACTGCAGGCTGGCACTGCTTCAGTGCCGATTCGATCCCCA